GTATTTGGCGAATAACCTAATTAGTTAGCATGGAGTTGGTTCTTTCTCACTGCTCTGCTTTCTGCTAATTGCAGAACTGGTGGCCTTCTCCCCCTGACAAAGGGAGAAAAACAAGGATGGGGTGTGTGGAGAAAACAGTGCCATTCAGTTCTAATTCATTTGAACCCGCTGCCAAGCTTAGTTATGTAATTGAGGGAGTGAGACCAGTGGGCTTCCAGCCACTTGGGCTGGGGTTTCTGAGGGTTACCAGTCACGGGTGTTTTATCAAGGATTTTAGCAGTCACCATAAAGCATCATTAGCTGGAGCTGAACTAATTTCCCTACCCTGCCCCTCACCAGATGTAGCTGTGAGGTTCCTGCTCCCAGACTTGATTATTTGTCATTAAGGAAAGCAAATTGAAACCAAATTGAAGTCGCTTTCTTCCTTAGTAAATGCATCATTCTTCTTCGGGGGCAGCTTCGGATTTCATTTTGTTTTCTTCTGATTGTGATGCCGTATATGCTGCCACATACAACTCAGGCATGTGCTGTTTATTTCTAGAATCCCAGTGTTCTTCAGGGTTGCTTGAGACATGTTTAACCTCCGAACTTTCATTTTAATTAGGAAAAGCTAGTGTGTATGAAAACCACAAAAGTCGGTGAAATATTTCAGTGCTGGCAGCTGATTCTTTATTTATAGCTTTGCTTCTCCCAGTCTTTGCTCCCTTGTTGGTGTGGAGCCTTCAGGAGAGGAGATGTGTTGTACAAACGGGGCTCCTCTCTCTCCTTCCTGGCATGATGGCTCCACAGAAATACGCTCTTCTCAAAGTTTGATCATTCCCTCCTCGATTCAGAGAAAGCGGAGCTTGTCCCATACCTCACAGAGATTTCTTTTGTTTGGATAGGCATTCTGCCTTGGAGATCAGCATCATAACATTGCAGTATCCTGTACAACATTTGGTGGGTGGAAGGAGAGGGAGGGAGCAGAGAGAAGGAGCCTCACTGGAGAAGAGGTCACGGATCACGAGATCTGGGGTGACTTTTCTGGGTGGCAGTGTTGGCTGAACCAGATCTGTGAGCACTTGGCTTTTATATTGTTCTTTACAGTCAAAATTGCTAACAGACATTTTTATCAGTTAATCTCCACAGTGGTCTCATAAAGTAAGTTAGCATCTTTTAAACATGCTTTCAATTAATTGCGACAAATATTTGTTAAGCCCAGGCTACGTGTGAGGGACCGTCATGGTAACTGAGAATAGACAAGGAAATAATACCTGGTAACAAAGAGTGTTCTTTTGTTTTTTCAGTGTATATTGAGTGAAGAGAAAGGTCCCTCTTTTAGCAAAAGTCAGCACTTCATATATGTCCTCGATGCCCTCACCCCTTCACCTTCTCAGGAATATTATTATAGAAATTATCTCCTTGCCCCCTGAGGTTTTCATCTCTGTCTTTCAGCTTAATCTTTCCTATTGACATTCATAAATACCAAGAACAGTCCCTTGGAAGGTGCACCAAGTAAATATTTGTTGAATAACTTGAATAAATACTCAGTAGTTCTCTACCCTGGCTTCACACTGAAATCAGCTGGGAATAGACACACACATGTGTGCATGCACACATGTATGTGTGTGTGTAAACATATGGGTCACATCCCAAAAAACATTGATTTAATTCTCTTGGGGCTGAGTCCTGGGCACTGGTATTATTTTTAGCTCCCAAAGTGATTCTAGCGTGTAGCTAAGGTAGAAAAACCATAGTATTTTCTATCTTAAAACAAACAAAACAACTCATTAGACTTCATATCCTCCTCTAGCTAAAGTTGTCTATGAATTCTCCCTCCCAGCCAAAATTGTGGCAGAGTCCTGTAAACCCTCTCTCCACCGTCTTGTCTTTCATTCTTCAGTGACTCAGGCAGGCTCCAGTCCCCACCAGTTGCCTGAAGCAAATAGCACTAATGGCACCCACGTTCCTAAACACACGGGGCACTGTCAAGCTCTCATCTTCCACATACTCTCAGTAGCGTTGGGCTCAGCTGATCTCTCTCTCTCTCCTCGGACACTTTCTTACCTTGGATTTGAGACATTTTATTGCCATTTCATTTCCTTCCTCTCTGATTCCACTTCTGCCTCCTTTGCAATCAAATTTTCTTATCTGACACCTAAGTGCTGAGACTGTTCAAGCTCTGAACCTGGGCCCTTTTTTTCTACTTACAAATAGGCATTTAAAAAAATTTTTTTGGTCTATATCCATCTCTGTAAATAACGTCTTTCTGCTGTTGATCTCCTAACTTCTATTTCCAATCCTACGCCCTGTTCTGTGCCCCAGCCCAAAACTCCAGCTCCTACTTTCTGTTTAGATGTCTCATAGGCATTTCCGCTTCAACATGTCTCAACCCCATACTTGAATGTTCCCTCTCCCTTTTTGGATTCTTCTCCAGGGTCCCCATTTCAGTAAATCACACCTCCACCCATATGCTGACTTATGCCAAGAAAGAACAGTAGTAACCCAGGTCCTCTGTATCTCCTTTACTCTCAATCCAGTCAACCTATTGCCAAGTCCTATTCATTATACCTCCAACATATAATTCCACTCTTCCATTTGATCCCATTCATTTCATTGCCAGCTGCCATTTGCCCCTAAGTCACCTTGCTGATCCCACTCTTGAGGTCCACCTCCTCTACCACCATTCAATCTCCAGGAAAAGCCAGTTAGAGAGACAGTTTAAGAAATACAGGTCATTTCATGCCACTGCTTCCTTAAGAGTTTCAATACTAAACAATCAATAGCTAGGCTCTATATTATATGTTCTCATTTTCTTTCGGGGGAGATATGCCATTTTGTCATCATAGATTTATTTGTATGGGTATTTGCTTTATGTCTGTCTCCCAACTCGACTGTAAGCTGCATAAGAATGGGAACTGGGGAACTTGATTCATTACTATGTATCCTGTGCCTGATAAACAGCCTGAAATGAATTTTATTATTGAACAAAAGAATGGGCATAAAAGTGGAGGAGAAAGATCGAGCAAAGTGTGAGGTGCAAGAGGGTGCTTTGCCGTATCTCACTTAGCCAGTTCTACTGAGAACTCAACCACACCGTTAATAAATTTACTGATTAAATGAGCTGGAATGAATCCTTTCACAGAATTATTTTATTCTGTGCCTTAGCTTCAAATTCCAAGGGATTTTCAAGAATTTCATTCTCTCCGTGGTAGGTTTCAGAAGCCATTAGAAATAGTTCCACAGTAAGGTTATAAAGCAGTTCGTTTTCTGGTATATTTGTAAAGGGTGTGTGCAGATGTGGTTTCAAATCTTGGGTGACTCCGTAGCACCTCGCCTGAGCCTCAGTTTCTTCATGCACATACAAGAATGTGCATGAGACTATTACAATTTCATTAGCTGTCAACATGTCAACCACCCAGCACAGTATCAGGCATGTAGGAGATTATGTCTACATTTTCATTTTGCCTTCTGCTCCCCCTAATTCTAATGCATGACTTAGTTTGTTCTCTCTCCACCCCTTTTTCTTTCTGCCTTTTTTTTTTCTCTGTCTTACTCAGCTTAGTGGGTGGTCATACTCATATTATTCACATAGTTTGAATTTTGTGGCAAGAGAAGAATTAGCAGTACTTAAAGAGTAGGCCTCCTCTTAGATTAGAAATACAAACTTGACAGCTATTCTGCCCAGCTTTTCAAGAGCATTTTATGGTACACTGCTGGGTAACAAGTTCATTTTAGGATAACATGCTGGGAGAGAAAAAAAGAAGACGGGATTCGAGGGGAGAAAATTAAACAGTTAATTAAAAGAAACAACTTGGTAATTGAATTCCCTTGCACATTTCTTCGGTTGTTGGGAGGGGAGGGTCGCAGGGTATGGTTAGTAGGTTTGCCTTTTGTTGTTCACCTCAAAACTTTTAAATGTTTTAAAGTATTAAGAAGTGTTACGAGCACAGGTAAATACATGCCTAGCTAACAGATGAAAAGAGGCTCAAGATACATATGATGGCCTTTTTAGATGTGACCAACAAAGCTGCCCTCATAGCATTACTGGGATTGTAAACATTCTTGGCAGCTTACATTACTGTTAGGCTAAGTCCTGGACTCATATCAGCTATTTTATGGCATGTGAAATCCCTTTTTCATTTATTCTGTTTTACTAGCTATTTCTTTGTCCTCACTCTGTACACACACACACACACACACACACACACACACACACACACACACACACGGGTGCACACGCACGCACAGACATTGTAGAGTACAGGCAACTCTTGTACCCTTTTCAGATTATACTCAAGCAACATGTGAGTAACTTGGGTGTTTTAAAAGTGTTTTCTTATTTTAAAATGTTCTTTATTTTTAAAAGAAGTTTAAATATTTGACTCATTATTCTTGATCACTGATCACTTTAGAGTCAGAATATTTTTTAAAGATGTTATTGACAAAGACAAGGTCCCATAGTGAATTAGCATGGGCTTAGAGATCAACTAGAACTAGGTTCAAACTCAAACTCTCATGCACAACCTTTATTTATTCACACACTCAACATATGTTTATTGAGTGCCTACTGTGTGCCAGGTACTGCTGCAGTCGCTGGTGATATCTTTATACAAGTTCTATCATGGCTTTCATTAAATTTCTTGAGGTTTTGAAAATTAAATTTAGAGAGAAACTTTATATATATATTTTTTTTTCAGCACTTTGTGTTTCTCATTCTTGCAGCAATTGCATTGAAAAAAAGTAGAACATGTTAAATAATGTATTACCTTACTCACAAATTAGTCTAAATCAGGTTGATGATTGCACACCGACTCTCCAAGCAATCTCTAGAAAATAGACTTACTATTTTATGTTTAACGATATTGTGGTAATTTTCTGGACATGGCAAGGGCCATAGATTGAGAGCCTTTATGTTCAGCCGGGGATTTGAATGCAAGCTTAACCACAAACACACATCCCATCGGTATGATAAAGATGGAGCTTTGTGAGTACTAAAGAGGAGTTTTGTCTTTTCACAGGTTACGGTTTTGTGGATTTCGACAGTCCCGCAGCTGCACAGAAAGCGGTAGCATCTCTCAAGGCAAATGGCGTTCAGGCACAGATGGCCAAGGTAAGACTGGTGCTCAGATCCGTTTGTTTCTTTTGTGATCATGTATTTCTCCATTGCTGTGAACTGAGCTGAATCATAATTGGAGTTTGCAACAACTGAATTATATTTACTCGTTAGGGAAAATAGGAAACCCTATAGATAGGTTGGGCTTGGAAGAATCTGGCTGGTTTATTGCATTGTTTCTTTGTGTATATTTATGAATGTGCTCTTTTGTTACAGTAACCTCATTAGTGATTTAAGAACACTTGTGAAGTGCTCTGTGTTGCCTGAAAAAGGTGTGTGTGCATGTGTGTGTGTGTGTGTGTGTGTGTGTGTGTGTGTGTGTCTAGGACTTTCACCAGTAAATAATGTTAGAGTAGTACAATTCTCAGCAAGTTGTCTTTGACTAACTGCTAAAAAATGGCTCACTCTCATGTTGTGGAGAGCTGATTGGTAAATGATGAGGTTGTTGGATCTGTGCAGGAAAATGAGGTTAACCAATGTACGTGTTGTCCCTATTGCTAGAATTTCACTTCGGCCTTTATAGAGTTTTTCTAGATAATAATTTCTTAGATATTAATATTTTTTAAAAAAGAAAAAAATAATTTTCAGTACTCATGTATATGCAACAAGTAGTCTGGAAATTCCTACCTGAAATTATAATAATGCATTTTTATATTCAAGAAAATAAATAAAATGAGTTATAATAGTTTTATATCCTGAATTCAGTGGTAGTTAAAGAATCTACAGGTGTAATAAAATGACAGAATTCTACACACATATTACACCAATGTCAATGTCTTGGTTTTCGTATTGTACTATAATCATATAGTATATAACCTTGGGGAAACTGGATGAAGAGTACATGGGAACTCTCTATGTGATCTTTGCAGCTTTCTGTAAATATATGATTATTTACAAATAAAAAGTTAAAAAAATACTTTATAATATAGAGAAGCTTGGTACACATTTGCTTTGAAATAAGGGTCATTTTGTATTGGTTCACATGCAATTTTAGTTTTAAATTTTTTTAATGACTATTACTATTTGAATTTATCTCCAGTTGTCAAAAGTTATATAGGCAAGCCAACAGAATTTGAAATCCTGATCTAATGCATTTATACCTTATTCATGTGTATATATACCCTTAACAATTCCTGTTAACAGCTGAATGATAAAATGAGGAAGTCATCATATTTTCAGTCATTTGGATTCTGTTTATTGGTAATACTCTCAGATAACATTTCCTAGTTTCAACCTCAGATAACTAGAGGTGGGATATTTGGTTTTCTGTATCTTCATTTGTCTTCTAGCAAGCTGATATCACCCGTATCTGTTAATGTTTTGTTGTGGGTCACATCCCATATAGATTACTTTGATGGACTCATTGCCCTTTATGACTCATTAATTGTTTTTCAAGGTGGTATAAATTAGAATTTGAATCCTTTCAGCTGTGTAATGTGTCCCTCATCAGGACTGTGCCTGGAAGCTTTGAATTTGGTCGTGCACTAAGATTGATGAGGTTAATATTTTTAATTAATGGGGATATTATGTACATCTTCATTTAAAGGTTACTTGGCAAAGAACTGTTACTCAGCAACTTAAGTAGCGACTTATACCTAGGAAACAAGTAAAAAACCAGATGCTAGGTATATGCAAAATATAAAAGTTGAATTTGGGCTGACAGGCAACACCTATTGACAAGAAAATGATTATAAAAGTGCTTATAAAATTGTTATTGGATTATATTTAATCTATTCTGCTGATAAACTACCAAATTTTGGAAAGTCCTGGATTGTGGTCATTTAGAAATAATGACTACAATGTGCATAATCTCTACTGTTTGACATATATATATTTACTTACCGGATAAAAATCACTACCATCTTGCACAACAGGAAAAGAAAGTTGGCATCGATTTTATAACTACTGAGGAGCCATTATTAATATTTCCCCTCTGTTTCTGAGCATTCCTCTTCACAAGGAATCTCTTTGTCTTTCTCAGTCTCTCTTAACACACACAAACACACATGCCCCAATCACTGACATCTCAGCTAAAAGGGAAGTTATCAAAGGGAAAATATTCTAAAGAACTTCTAAACAATTATTTATTATAGCTAGCATTTTGGTCCTTAGCCCATGCCCAATGCACAGCATAAGGGGATTCCAACTGGAATGTTTAAAGGCACTTTTTATTTTATTTTATTTCTGGAGTTACTGAATGATTTGTACCTTATTACTTATGCTGTCTGTGGAATACATTCTTAGTCCCCCTTTCTCACAAGCTTTGAATCTAAAGCCCAGAGCTTTCGACCTACATCTGCCTACTGGAAAACTTTCAGCAGTAAATGACTCTGTAATTTAACTACCCAGAAGCAAATAAATGGCCTCCCTTTGACAATGAAATGGAACAAGCTTGACCACCTGTATTAGCAGATTTCTCACTGAGCTATTGGATTTCACGGCACTTTTTCCCTTTGTCCTGGTGATAACTATTATTTATTATCATATAAACCTGCAGTCTGCAGGGTGTGTGAAACATGCACTATATTTTTTGCCATTTAAGTGTCTACGGAATTGCCCCCTGCATCCTAGTTCTTACCAACATTCTACTATGCAGGTTTGTGATGACACATTTTAACAACTCGAGGATTTTAAAGCAAAAATGCTGCAAATAATCTAGACTCCCATTGGCAACCTGGAGCGAACATGAGACTTTCCAAATGAATCGCTTTATTTAGCTAACTTGTTTCAATGTGTGCATATGAAAAATTCAACTGATTTGTCAACTAAGAGGAATTAAACAATAAATCACCCAGTAAGTGGTAATTGATTAATAATGTGTAACCATTAACACAGACTAACAATTTCTGTATACTTGCTGTCCTGCCAAAAAGGGTTTTTAGGGATCAAAGGACATGTTTGTTTTAGGAAAACAGATTTAAAATATTTTAGTAATACATAGTGGTTAAGATCACAGGTTTGGAGAGAGATAAACTTGGCCTTGAATCCTGGCGCTGACACTACCTGGCTGTGTGACCTTGGCTATGTTATTTAAATATCTCTGAGAGTCTCTAATAACAATACTTAGGTTATGGAACTGCTGTGAGAATTAATAAAGAAAAATACACAAAGCATTTAGCATCGTGCTTAGATTATACTAAAATTCAATAAATGTTAATTATTCAATAAATATTGCTATGCATTAAATTCACATTTGTTACTGAACCTTCTATGTCCTAATCTGTGTTTTAAGGGTTATGTTATTACAAAACAGTTTCTTCAAAAATACAAAAAATAGTATCAATCAATACACATTTTTATTGCTTGCTGAGTGCCAAGCACTTTGCTTGATATTAGAAAATCGAGATTGAATAAAGCTTCTTCCTTATTCTGAATTTTTAATATTTAATTTAAGCTATCCCCTGGGATTGCTACAGCTCTGGATTAAGAATATTAGCTGTTACTATTCTTGCCAGCCCCAAGGTGTTTAGAAGAAGTCATTGGTTAAGAAATATGTTTTTGTATGCTTAAAAAAAAAGAGAGCTGTGAAAATTAGCTGATGAGCCTAACCTTGTAGGCTACTCATTATAACCTTGTATTTTACTCATTAAAAGACAGCCGTAGATAGCAGTGTAGGGCAAATGCTTTGGGGTAATGTCAAAATCAAGGCTGTACTGCCATTCTTGATAATTGACTTTCATCTGTACATATTTACATGTTGGTTTCTAATATTCCAGCTATTGTATTCCCATTTCAGCCAGGAAAAAGTAAAGGACAAAAGACTGAAGAATCATTGTACCTGATTCTGTTCTTTTAAAAGCTTTCTCAGAAACTTACATTTACATATCAATGGCCAAAACTGAGTCCTGTGGTTTTCTCCTTAGCTGTAAGAGAATCTGGAACGATGCATAATTTAACTTCTTTGCCTCTAGTAGAGAAAATTAAGGATAGTTCATCTTTTTGTCTATCCATCATCAAGAACACCATTTTCCTCATTTATACATTATGGGTGGCCTGCATTCATTCATTCCCCAAAGGATCCTACCATAAAGCCTCATCTTGTAATGACATCTGGATGCCATCATTTCCAGCAGGCTCAGAAAGACACAGTGGTACCTCATGGCTTAGCAACTGATAACTTTAAAAGACAAGTTATCTGTCCGAACTCCTACAATGTAGAATGATTGAGAAACAACACGATACATGAAACTAAAGGAAGACTACTAAAGGTAAATAAGTGGAAATCACAGATTGCTAATACATATCAAATCCTGTTGAGCAGGATAAAAAAGAGAAATATATAGATATAGATATAGATGATATAGATATAGATATAGATGATATAGATATAGATATAGATATAGATGATATAGATATAGATATAGATATAGATATAGATATAGTGAGAGAGACAGAGAGTGAGAGTGAAAGCAAAAGAGAGAGAGAGAGAGAGAGAGAGAGAGAGAGAGAGAGAGAGAAAGAGAGAGAGAGAATACATGACATCTGTCTGTCGTCAATAGGGATGTCTCTTCCCCATTATTCCCCATCGCTGCATTGAGGCCTCTCTGGAGGGCTGCAAAACTTTAGAAGCTGAGTTTTCCTGGATGAAAATTTAGAGGCTCTGGAATGTCTCTGCATGTTTAACGGTCACCAATTATTACCAGCAAAGCCTTGAACTACCTAAAGCTTAGCAGGCCTCTTACTTATTTGCTTTCTGTCAATTCCAAACAGACATAAACAGAACATATCTCTCTCTAGATCAGTGGTTCTCAACCTTCCTAATGCCGCGACCCCTTAATACAGTTCCTCATGTTGTGGTGACCCCCAACCATAAAATTATTTTCGTTGCTACTCTATAACTGTAATTTTGCTACTGTTATGAATCATAATGTAAATATATTTTTTGTTTTCTGATGGTCTTAGGCAACCCCTGTGAAAGGGTCGTTCGATCCCCAAAGGGGCCGCGGCCCACAGGTTGAGAACTGCTGCTCTAGATGAATAGCCCACAAAGCAGGAGT